CCTTCCCAGCTCCGGACTCAACGGTATTTTGCACACTCACCCATCCGAAATATGAATTCATAGTATCCCAGCTGGACCGGCATCGCCGCACCCACCCCTCATCCCCAGCCAAAACACTATGCGCGCGCATTGGGTTATCAAAACTCATAAGTGTCCCAAAACCCTCTGCGAAAAACGGGACGAAGTGCACGCGCGCGCCCCGTCGCGCGCGCATGCCCAAATCCTTCAAAAGAGCCGTAGGCTTCGACAGGAATTCAAAATCGAGCGCCGCAGAAACAGATTAAAACATTGGGTTTCGCAAAAAGAATGTCTCGAAAAAGCCTGCGCCCGCGCTCTTGCGAATTCGCGAGAACCCATAGATCTTCCAACACGTTCACTAAATGCTCCCAAACGGGCCTCTCGCGCGCGTATGTTGACATTAATCGAACGCCCTTGCGCGCGGGCTGTCGCAAGAATCCCTCGAAAAAACTTTACGAATGGCACACGCGCGCGTCGTCGCACGAGCATGCCGAAACCCTTCAAAAACCTGAGGTGTCGCAAGGACTTCAGAATCGAGCGCCCCGAAAACATATAAAAAACACATGGCTTTGCAACATCAATATTCAAAAAAATGCGTTCGCGCCCCTGCGAACTCTTCAGAAAACCATTTCTTGTTCAACTGTTCCAATTAAATTATGTCAAGCGGGCCCCTCGCGCCGCATGTCGAAATCATTCGAACGCCCTTGCGCGCGTGCTGGGGAAGGCACGATCCATGTCAAATATTATCACGCGCGCCACTCTGGCGCGTCGGCCGCGTGCACATGTCGAACTCCCTCCAGAACCTTCATCACCAACGCGAGGACGCCGTCATCGTCTTCGGAGTGATCAGCATCGGCACCGTCACCAGTCTTGCCGTCGTCGCTGTCATCATCGTCACCAGCATCGCCAAGGAGGACACTCCGCGCCTGGCAGCCCCTTAGGTGCAGGGCAGTGGCCCTGCCCCGAGACTAAGGCCTGCACCCCAGAGAGCCGCGTGGAGCGCCGCCACTTGCGATCTCTGTTTCTCGTTCTGCTCACGCCGCCCGCGCGCGATGACGCGCACGCGCGCTCGCCCGCGGGGGGCCCAGGGCGAGGGCGGGGGAAGAGGGGGGAGGCCGAGGGGGACGGGAACGGGTGGGACGAGGAGGAGGCAGGACGCAGCAGGAAGGATGAGGAGGAGGAGGAAGAGGAGGAGGAGGAGGAGGAGGGAGGAGGGAGGAGCAGGAGAAGGTTGATTGGTTGGTTGGTGACCTCCCAGCGAGGTCGCATGTTGGGACTGCGGGCTCAGCCCCTTTAGTGGAGAGCTGCGGGGCCCAACCGGCGACCGACGGCAACCCCGCAACGTCAGCCCAGGGATGGATGAGACCACTCTCGGGAAGCAGACCCGGGAGAGAGGGGGAGGGCGCGAGGATTTGCGTGCAACCGCGCCCAAACCCTCACTCAGTATCCCAGGCTCCCTCCGGGGAGGTGCCACGCCCAAAACCGGAAAGCAAACGCTAGATTTGGGCATTCCTGGGGAGGGGGCATCAGCGGCCCTCCGGCAGAGATCCTCGCCCGGTCTCGACTCCATCCTACGCCAACGCACGACGTAGGTACGAGGCAAGCTGGATGGAGGGAGAGAAGATCTGAGGGGGGGTGGGGGCACTCGCAGCTGGCCCATCCCAAAAGCCATCCCGCCCCAGCCACGACTGGCTCCAGGGGCCCACGCCGAGGTCCAGGCCGGCGCCCCAACCTCCCTCGCCACGCTCTGGAAACCGCCGCAACAGCGCCCCCCGCTCCGAGCGCTGGGGAGGAGGCGCGGGGCACGGGGAGGGGGGCCCAACGCCGACCCAGGAACTCCCCACAGACCTCCAAGATTATGTTGCTCCCGTCGTACTTAAGGACCACATCCCAGAAATAATTTCGAGCACCCGGAAAAGTGTCGAAAGAGTGTCGAAATAGTATCGAAACAGTGTCGGACGAGTGTCTCCCAGGGCCAGACACGTGAAAACCTGGAGTTTTGGGATACTTTTCTGGCGCTCGAAACTCTTTCTGGTGATCTAGGCTAAAGTAGGTTGGAACATCATAACTCCAAGAGGGAACCGACCAAGAGAGGGAGCAAGGAGGGAGGGAGGAAAGCGAGGAGCGACCCAACCTCCGCCCCATGATGGCCCAACCCGAAAAAAAAAGTCCCGAAGCGCACGACGGCGGGCCTGGAGGCACTCCCCCGACATTCCCTGGCAGCCAGCCGCGCCCAGCCGCCACCGAGGCGGGCGCCCAGCGGCCTTCCCGGGCCTCCCGGGCAGTTTTCGCAACACCAAACAAAGGTCTGCTCGGTACCTCAAAAACTGCCCGGGGAGCCCCGGCAGGGCCGGGCCGCGCCCGGCGGCCACCGCGACGGGCCCAGCAGCCCCCCCGGGCAGTTTTTCCGGTTCCAAACAAAGGCCCGTTTGGCACGGCAACAATTGCCCAGGGGCAGGAGGCGACCAGGGGCCCCCGATCCGGCGGCGGAGCTCGGGGGCGAAACCCGGCGGACCGCCCTCACGGCTCGGCAGGGAAAGGCGACGCAGCAGCGACGACGAAGACGCCGACGACGACGACGACAACGACGACAGCGGGAGCGGCGGCGCCAACGCCGACGACCACGGCAGCGGCGGCAGGGACGGGCACAGCAACGGCGACGAAGACAGCACAGCGGCAACAGCAATGACGACGGCGCCGCAGACGCCGAAGGCGACGGCACGGACCCACCCCAGCCCATCCCATCCCAGCGAGGACCAGAAGGGAGGGAGGGAGGAAGAAGCAGGGGCGGCAGAGAGGCCCAGGCGAGACATCTCGGAAGCGCCCTCTCGACCGCGCTCACCAAAGGCAGGAGGCACCCCGGGCAACATGGGGAGCCGATGCAGGAGTGGACGCCGTGCCGTGCAAAGGCAGAAGAGTCGGAAAGGAGGAAGGAGGAGGAGGAGCAGAGGCCCAGGCCTCACCAACCCAGCCCAACCCGATCCTGCAGGACTGGGAGGGAGGGAGGGAGGAGGGAGGAGGGGAAGAGCCCACCCCAGCTCAATCCATCGCTCCCGACCCCACCGCAGCCCTGCAAATAGGTCAGCCGACTACGCGCCACAGGACGCCCTGTTAACGTCGCGTCTCCACGGCGACCTCTAGCAAGGACTGGGAGGGAGGAAGAGAGGAAGAGAGGGGGGAGGGAATGCCCAACTTAGCCCAGCCCAACCCAGACCAGTCCAACCCAGCCCAACCCAGTCCAGCACGACCTGGGAGGGAGGGAGAGGAGGAGGAGAAGGAGAAGAGGTCGGCGCAGAGATGGGGAGGGAGACGAGGAGGGACAGGAAGGAGGAGTGGGGGGCAAAGGAGCAAGGAGGAAGGAAGGAACAGATGGAAAAGGAGGAGCAAACGACACGCTGGGGAGAGCGCGCGTCTGTTGATTAGTGTCGCAGCGGCCCCGCGCCGCCCACGAGGCACCGGGGGAGCCTCAGGGCGCGGCGGGCGGCGGCAACAACCTCCTTGTGATAGTTGTACTCGTTGTGGTTGGCGGGCATGCCGAGCTCGGAGCGCGCCCGCAGGATGTTGTAGCTTCGGTAGGCCACGGCCATGCGAGTGATGGTGTGCCTCGGGTGAGCGTCGATGATGCCGTTCTGGTGGAGGTCCAGGCGTGTGAGGGCATCACCAGCAGGTTGCCCACGTGGTGGAGCCAAGAGCGCCCACATCCGTGGGCACGATATGTAGTGGCTGATGTCGTCCGTGTTCTTGGCCTGCAAGTCCTTGTCGCATCCGAACAAGATGTTCTTCTTGTGGGGGTTGACGCGCATGCGGTGGGATGTCGTCCATGCGCCTGACAAGGTCTTGACCGCGGGCCCGAAGAGCGCGGCCGTGGAGTTCGCCAGGTGGGACCGTAGATCGCGCCAGACGTGTTCAACACTGGCAGGGAGAACAGCGCGGCCAAGAAGTCCGTCACGGTCGGATGTATCGGTGTCCATCATGATGTCACTGGTGGAGTGGATGGGCAGCGTGGAGGTGGTCGTAGTTGTAGACTGAGTGTCGCCGTCTTCCTGCGGGAGGTTCGGGTTGGTGGCACGTTCGCGCTCGATCCAGCGACGACGGGCACGGTGTTCAGCAGCTTCGTCAGCAAATTCTCGATGAGTGGTGGTCGACATGTGCTCGGTGGTGTAGATCTGCAGGCGGTGGTTGCGAGGACGGTCAGCTCGATGCCACGCACCGTAACAGATGGAAAAGGAGGAGGAGGAGGAGGAGGAGGAGGAGGAGGAGGAGGAGGGGGAGGAGGGGGAGGGGGGGAAGGAGGCAGGAGGGAAGAGAAGGAGGCAGGAGGGAGAAGAGAAGGAGGCAGGAGAGAGGGCAAGGCCGCGGAGCGACGGCCGGCTCGCAGCCCGCGCCGGGGAGCTCGGAGTCGTGGGGGCCTCTCCGCGCCTGGCAGCCCCGCACATGCAGGGCAGAGGCCCTGCACCGAGACTGAGGACTGCACCCCAGAGAGCCGCGGGGAGCGCCGGCACTTGCGATCTCTTTTTCTCGTTCTGCTCACCGCCCGCGCGCGACGACGCGCACGCGCGCTCGCCCGCGGGGGGCCCAGGGCGAGGGCGGGGGAAGAGGGGGGAGGCCGAGGGGGACGGGAACGGGTGGGACGAGGAGGAGGCAGGAGGCAGTAGGAAGGAGGAGGAGGAGGAGGAGGAGGAGGAGGAGGAGGAGGAGGAGGAGGAGGAGGAGGAGGGAGGAGGGAGGAGGGAGGAGGGAGGAGGGGGGAGCAGGAGGAGGGAGCGGGGAGGAGGGGAGGGAGGAGGGAGGAGGGGAGGAAGGCGGATGGAGACGGAAGGGGCAGGAGGAGAGGAGGAGGGAACGGGGAGGAGGGGAGGAGGGGAGGAGGGGAGGAGGGGAGGAGGCGAGGAGGCGAGGAGGGGAGGGGAAGGGCGGGAGAGTGCAGCCGGGGGAGGCAGGAGGAAGCACGCCTGCGGAGACCCAGCCGACCCCCGCGGTTCCTGCACCAGCCGGCCCGCCAGCGCCGACTTCCCCGCCCCGCTGGGCCCGGCCACGCCGATCAGCAGCACGCTCCTCCCCTCCGCGACGCCGAGCGCGTCCTGAGCAGTTTTTGGTTTGGCCGTGAGTTGGCGACAAGCTCCAACTCCCTTGCACCACAATCGCACAGCGCGACAAGCGGGGACCGAACGAGGGCAAGGGAAGATGCACCCTCAGGAGAGTTGGGTGCTCGTTCTGGGGACCTTCCCGCAGCCACCCGCTCCACTCACGCGCTGATGCTGCCCCTAACGTCCGTCGACTTGGGTCGCACGTGCGTCCAACCTGGATCGGACAAGGGTCAAACTGGAGTCAGGCTAGAATGAAGGGGCCCTGGGACACACAAATAGATACACACAAATAATTGGATTCCTGATATTTTCCCATATTTTCTGGATTTTTGTCTTCCCCCCACGTCCCATAGTTTCCCATATCTTCTGGGGAATCGACGATTAATTGTGTCTGTGTGTTTCTTTCCCTCCTGATAGAATCGAACAGATCCGGCAGGCGGGCCCCAAGAAAGATCATGTATGCGTGCACGCAAAGGACAGGACCCAGCGGAGCCTCCTCGCCCACGCCGAGCCGCCGAGCGCGCTGGCAGGCCGCGCTGCCCAAAGATGGAAGGGAAAAGCAGGCGCCGTAAGGGGGCCCGACGATACCACCGGCAACGCCCAAGAGGGCCCCGAGCGGCCCCCCACGTCGTACCCAAAAGACCCTCAAGACTGCTGTTTTTCATGGCTGCAGAGCCTCCGTCGACAGCCAAACCAACATCATCTAGAAGTGTGCTCTCAAAGCACTGGCGGGGAGGGCAGCATTAAAGACCGAACCGTATGTATGCCCTGGGCAGTGCATCGCTAGGCACACACCGTAACGGACTGGACAGCCAATGCTTGCCACTCAGGCGCAAGCGGTGCCTTGGCTCTGGTGGAGGTATGCTGCGCGGAAGGATGAGCAGAACGTCACAGGCCTAGGAGCACCGTGAGAGTCCCCACGATAGCCCCCAGAGGCCCCTTCGGTTGCCTACGGATTGCCCAAGACAGCCCCTGGAGGTGCCCCCCAGAGGCCCCAAGCTGCCCCCAAACAGGCTCGCGCATGGCCCAGCAGAGCCCCCAACGAAAGCCTCAAGGTCGTGCCAAGACGCTCCCAGGATGGATCCGCTTGGGGGTCGACAGCGCAATGCGCGGCCCGTCGGACATACTCACGGCAAGCCCGACGAACAAAAAAGCCGTCGTATCTGCGTGCACGCAGCACCCCGCGCGGGCGGACAGGAGTGAAGGGGGAGGGCGGGGGCACCGGCGAAGCCAGGGCCAAATGTGGCGCCCCCACGGCCCCCTGGCCCCCAGAAGTGTCGCCCTCATGCGTCGCCCCCACGCGCAGCCCCCAAGCGTCGCCCCCAGAGCCCCCATGTGCAACCCCCGAAAATCTAGCTCCCAAGCATCGCCCCTGGACGCCGGGCCACCTGTCCAGCCACGCGAGGGCTGGGAGAAAGTAAGACCGCCCAGGCCCCGTCCCTCTGATCATGCCTGAGGTCTGGCCCATCCGCTGGCGGCACACACAGCACGGCAGGGCAAGGCGGGGGGAGATGGTCTTCTCAGAGGCACCCCGCTTCCCAGAAGCCGCACTGCCCTCTGCGAATCCCTGTCCGCTGCGAATCTCGGGGCGCCTCGGGCGGTTCTCGTCGCCACGGCTGGACTGGCTCGTCGCCACGATCAGGATAGGCCCCAGGAAGGGGCGGGGGGTCGGGTTTGACCGGATTTGGGCTTGAGGCAGGGCGAGAGGACTGGCCGTCGGAGAGCTTCGTCGTCGTCGCCGCCGTCGTCGTCCCTCTCCGCGCCGACAAGCAATCCCTGGCCTTGAGGGTGCTGTCTCAGGGGCTCTGGTAAGTGGAGGGAATCGAAGAGAGGAGGGGAGAAGACAAGGAAGAAGAGGAGGAGGAGGACAAGGAGGGAGAAGAGGGAAAAGAAAAGGAGGAGGAGGAGGAGGAGAAGGAGGAGGAGGAGGAAGAGGAGGAGGAGGAGGAGAAAGAGGAGGAGGAGAAGGAAAAAAGTGGTCGCCGCCCCGCTGCGCACCGCCAGATCGTGATGGCCGCCATCTCAGCGTGCCAAGCTGCAGGGCAGGGTGGGTACAAGCTTTCGCTCTCGGCGAGGCCATTGCCACCTCGCTGCACGCGCGCCTCTGCACACAGACGCTTGGCCGAGAGGAGCGTACCGCGGGAGCGCAAAAGATCCCTTGCCACTGCAACTGGCAGTGCTCTCCCTCCAGCCGGCGGCGTGCCCAGGGGGGGAAGCAGAGGGGGCAGTTCTCAGAAGCCATGAGCGCGTTTCTTTATGTTCGGCGATGACGGGCGTCATGGAGGGGGGGGGGGGGGCGAGGGGGGGTATGACGTAACGCCCCCCCCGCCGTGCGGATCCGGCACCGCAACCGCGCCCGCGCGACGCGACGAGCGACGAGCGACGACGACGATGACGACGACGACGACGACGACGACGACGACGACGACGACGACCACGACGACGACGACGATCACGACGACAACGACGACGACGACGACGACGACGACGACGACGACGACGACGACGACGACGACGTCGACGACGCGAGCAGCATGTAGGTGACGATATGCCCCACTGCACCTGTGTATACCACAACGCTCGCGTGCACCACAGCGCGCGTGTATACCACAGCGCCTGCGTACACCGCAACAACCGCGTGCAACGCAGCGCCTGTGTACACCACAATGCTTGCGTACACTACAGCGCCAGCGTACAATAGCACACCGCAGCTACCATGTGCAACACAGCGCCAGTGTACACCACAATGCTTGCGTGCACCGCAGCGCCTGTGCACGCCACAGCGCGTGTCTACACCACAGCATCCGCGTGCAACGCAGCGCTGGTGTACACCACAATGCTTGCGTGCATAGGACAAGTAGAAGGAGCATGCACGTGAGAATCTGCTGCGGACAACTAGACGCCACGCCAGGAAATTGCTCATAATCGAATGCGACGTTCCTCCCTCCTCCCTCCTCCTCCTCCTCCATTTCCACTTCCTCCTCCTCCTCCTCCTCCTCCTCCTCCTCCTCCTTCTCCTCCTCCTCCTTACCCCCTTGTCGTGCGGTTTGGCGCTACAGCGCACGTGCGCATCTCAGCGCGCACCGCGGAATGATTTATTGAATCGGTTCACTTGGTTCTCGGACGGCCAATTTAGCTGGAAACTCCTGGACGCAAAGGGAAGAGTTAGGGTGATGCGGGCGAACTCGGGAGGACACGTAGATTCCAGCCGCGCTCCGTTGTCCACAAAGATTTTTTTATATCGCTTTCTGTGGAATCCACAAACGCTCAATTTTGTCATAAGGAGTCGTTCTCACATTCTATATATAACAATGGTGCTGTGTTGCACACGGCTGCTGTGGTGCACACAGGCGCCGTGGTGTACACAGGCACTGCAATGCACGCAGGCATTGTGGTGTATACTGGTGCTGTGTTGCACACGGCTGACGTGGCGAACGCAAGCGCTGCGGTGTGCACAAGCTGTTGTGCCCGCAGGCCCGGTAGCACAAACTGACGCCGTGTTGCACGCGGCTGCTGTGGTGTACATAGGCGGTGGTGTACACAGGCGCTGTGCTGCACGCAGGCACTGTGGTGTACACAAGCGTTGTGGTGCAAATCGCCGCCTACATGCTGGGGCTACCCGTCCTCCGTCATTCCTGGGCATTCCCGAACGCCGCCGGCGCGAAACGTGACGTCATCGACCCCCTCCATCCCCCCCTAGATGATTGCCGTCATCGGCCCGGAATAAAAAACAGGCTTCAGCCGCGTCCGCGCGCACGACGACTATGAGCGACGAGCGACAAGCCACGAGCGACGACGACGACGACGACGACGACGACGACGACGACGACGACGACGACGACGACGACGACGACGACGACGACGACGACGACTGCGGACCAGACTTCTATGCGGATTCCTACGCGGACACCTACGCGGATCCCAATGCGCACAGCGGCAGAGCTCGGAGCGCACTGGGGGGCAGTGCCCGGAGCGCTCTGGAGGGGGGAGCGTTACGTCATAGGGGGGGGGGGCCGGGGGCCATGGCGCCCGTCATGCCCCAAGCAATAAAGAAACGGGCTCCATCCAGCCTTCCTGAGGACCCGGACCCCCTCGAGTCAGGAAGAAATCACGACGGGAGGTGTTTCGCCATCTTCGGCCTCTGGGGGCCCTTGCCCGGCCTCGGGCCGTCAAGAAACCAGTCAGGACGACAAACCGGTCCCGGGGAATTGGTCCGGACCTTCTTTTGGGGGTCGCGCCATGCAAAAATCACGAGGTCGGGGGTCCGGCAGACCCGGTGGCAACGGAGCAAGGAGAGCCACAGGCAGCTCGTCAGACGGCCGGAGGGCTCCGGAGCAGGCCCGCCCCCTCTCTGCCTCCCCGGGCGCGCCGCCGATCCAGCCCGCCAGAGGACCGTCCTGACCGCAAGCCTCCCCGGACGACCGTCGCGGTGGACCCCCAGAGGTCCCCTCCTCCTCCTCCTCCTCCTCCTCCTCCTCCTCCCTCCTCCTCCTCCTCCTCCTCCTCCTCCTCCTCTTCTTCTTCTTCTTCCTCCTCCTCCTCCTCCTCCTAGACCGCTTCCCCGGGACGGGCTTCTCGTCCCGAACATCGCCCTCTGGCGGCCCTGGGGCCCGGCGAGGGCCCCCGAAGGCCGAAGCTGCAAAAAGAGAACCCCTGTGCCTTGGCTTTGGAAGTGCGAAGGCCCAGACCCCGGACATCATGTTTTTTTAATGACGCGACACCCCAGAGGTCTGGACCCGCTCACCGGGACCAGTCTTCCATCCTGAATCGTTTCTTGACGGCCCCGTGGCCCGGAAAGGGCCCCCGGAGGCCGAAAGTGTAGCGGGAAACCTTCCGCCGCGATGTCTTCCCGACTCGGGGAGGTCTGGGGAGGTCCGGGGACCGCCCTGGCCGTCCTGCCCTTCCTCCGCCCTCTTGCGCGCGGTCCTCGGGGGCGCCGGCCGCGGCGGACGAGCAGCTCGCGGCGCCCTCTCCGGCGCGGGCGGCCTCCAGGGAGGCCGCGGTCACCTCCACGCAGCGGAGGGGGGGGCGCCCACGCCGCGGGCGCAGCGCCCCAAACGCGGGGGCGTCCAAGAGGGAGGCGACCCGAGGGGGGGCGGGGCTCGCAAATCGTGGCCCGAGGCACGCGCGCGGACCAGGGGGGGGGCCAGGGGACGTGCGAGAATAGACGGAGCCGGGATCGCTACGGGGGGGGCCGAGTGGACAGAGGGACTACCAGTGGATGCGAAGTGGGCCACGAGTGCCCCGAGTGTCTCTCTGGGGCGCACACCGAGAGCGAGGAACGAGGCAGGGAAGACCGACGAACAAGCGGAGGCGGATGAGAGGAGCGGCTCCCCCTCCTCGTCGCCCTCTGGGCCGAAGTCTGGGTATCTGGGAGACTTCGGAATGATCTTCCTCCTCTTCCTCCTCCTCCTCCTCCGCCTCCTCCTCCTCCTCCTCCTCCCTCCTCCTCCTCCCTCCTCCTCTTCCTCCTCCTCCTCCTCCTCCTCCTCCTCCTCCTCCTCCCTCCTCCTCCGCCCTCCTCCTCCTCCTCCTCCTCTCCTCCTCCTCCTCCTCCTCCTCCTCCTCCTCCTCCTCCTACTCCTCTCCTCTCCTCCTCCTCTCCTCCTCCTCCTCCTCCTCCTCCCTCCTCCTCCTCCTCCTCCTCCTCCTCCTCCTCCTCCTCCTCCTCCTCCTCCTCCTCCTCCTCCTCTATACGGTGAGGGCAGGGGATAAGGAACCATGCGATGAGGAATCCAGGGTGTCGAAGCCGATGGAACTCCAATTGAGGCTGGCCCATGGATATCACCGCGGCCCTCATCAGATGATGAATCATCAAGGGTCTGCAGCCTCCTGGGCACATTCCTTGACCAACGGCCCCAACGTAGCGAAAGCAGCAGTGTTCCTTTGCCATGCTGGCAGGCGGAGGGCCGGCGAAGCCTGGCCACACCGATCAGACGCATCAGCATCATCAGCATCAGCATCAGCATCAGCATCATCATCATCACCATCATCATCAGCAGCATCCGCAGCATCAGCATCAGCATCATCATCATCATCAGCATCATCATCATCATCATCATCATCAGCATCATCATCATCATCATCATCATCATCATCATCATCATCATCATCATCATCATGATCATCATCATCATCATCATCATCATCATCATCATCATCATCATCATCATCATCATCATCATCTGCATCATCATCATCATCATCATCAGCAGCAGCATCATCATCATCATCAGCATCATCATCAGCATTATCAACAGCATCATCATCAGCATCAGCATCAGCATCAGCATCATCATCATCATCCATCCTCATCATCATCAGCATCAGCATCAGCATCAGCATCATCATCATCATCAGCATCATCATCATCATCTCACCACCACCACCACCATCATCATCATCAGCAGCAGCATCATCATGATCATCCTCATCATCATCGCCACCATCGCCGTCCTCGTCATCGTCGCCATCAACAAAATAAGCATCAGCAGTAGCAGCTGTAGCCGCTTCATAATCAGTAGTATCACCATCAGCATCGCCATCATCATCAGCAGCATCATCATCATGATAATCGTCATCAGTATCGTCATCATCAGCATCAGCATCATCATCACCATCATCAGCATCATCATCATCCTCATCATCAGCATCATCATCATCAGCAGCATCATCATCATCGGCAGCATCACCATCATCATGATCATCATTATCATCAGTATCATCAGTATCATCATCATCATCATCATCATCATCATCAGCGTCATCATCATGATCAGCATCCTAATCATCAACATCATCAGCAGCAGCATCATCAGTAACAGCATCAGTATCATCGTCGTCGTCGCCAACGTCGTCATCACCTTCGTCAGCATCGTCAACATCATCATCATCAGCATCATCATCATGGTCATCATCATCGCCATCATCATCATCATCATCATCATCATCATCATCATCATCACTACTGGTACCACCACCACCACCATCATCATCATCAGCAGCATCATCATCATCATCATCATCATCATCATCATCATCGTCATCATCATCATCATCATCATCATCATCATCATCATCATCAGCAGCATCATCGTCAGCAGCAGTAGCACCATACTCCGCCAGACTAGGACGAGGCCGTGCGGCATGGTTGCGGGCGATGCGAGACGTGACATGTGTCGAGCAAGATCACCGCGGCCCACAGAATACGAGCCAACGCGCGTCGGAAGGCCGTCGCAGCCCTCTTGGCTACCAGAGCTACCACGTCACGTTTTTTTCCCACAGCGTCGACCCCCACCGATCTCGACCTGGCCCCCATGGCCAGGCCTTCGCCCCGAGCCGTTTTGTTGAAGACCCCGGGGCTCCGCGAGGGCGCCTGGTGGCCGAACAAGAACAGAACCGTCGGTCACGACTTCCTCGCGGCGCGGTGGGGTCTGGGCGCGGCACCTGGCAGGAGGAGGGCTCGCATCAGACCACCGCGACCGCGCGCGCCCAGGCGGGGGCAATGGGCAGGAGAGGGGGACCGCGCGCGCCCAGGCGGGAGCAGGCAGGAGGAGAAGGACGGAGGAACGGGAGGAACCTGCTCTTGTGCACATCCACGCGAACGCGCAGCCAACGTGCCACCCCGAGAGGTGGGCAGGGTCCTCTGGAGAGGACGAGGAGCTCCACAACTGCACAATGGAGCCGAGTCAAAAAGAGGAGCCACAACGGCTCGCGCACGCATCACTGCTATGAGAAGAGGGCGACCACGGTACAAGCATGCACAAGCATTGTGAAAGCGCCCACCAGGAAGAGGTACGTCGAATACAACACAGGGGGGGGGGAAGGAAGAGGAGGGGGCACGGAGGGGGGGGGGACGAGGTTTCCTACTGCTGAATGTCGCAAGCCCTGCCTTGACGGCGTGTCCCCCTGGCGCCCAGCACCGCGCGAACCACTCGATCCATTTTCGCCCTCGGAGGTGGCCCCCAGAGGCCCTGGAGGCTGTCAACCTCGCCCTTCGCACTGATTTCACGACGCGGGCTGCTATCGGGGCCTGGGGCCCGAAACTGGACCCGCGAAGAATGCTCAACCATGGAACGCCCGCGCCGCGCCGCATCGAGGCGCCACGAACCTGCCAGTGGTCTCCAGAAGAAGTCTCCAGCGAGAGCGCGACTCCAGAGCTGCGGGAGAGCGACTCCTGAATAAATTGTAAGGACGTCCCAAGCGAGAGCGCGATTCCTGAATAAAATGCGAGGAAGTCTCGGGCGGGAGCGGCGGTCCTGGCTAAATTGCAAGGAAGTCTCAGGCGGGAGCCGCTGTTGTTGTAACCCCGGGGCCAGGGGGCCAGTTTGAGCAGGAAGACTTTCCCTGCCAAAAAACAGGGTGCGAGCGCCGAGGGGCACACTTTGATTCAGAAAAACAATATGCACCGGTGGGGGGGGATCAACAATAATTATTCTTCAGAAATGAAAATTCAACAACACGTCTATGTACTTTTGCGACCAGAGAATGTCAGGGAGGGATGCATCCAGCTTCCTGGCAGGCCACACCGACCCGCCCCTCGAGGTGCCGTCGCGCCTTGGCGTTCTGGTCCTAGCCCGGCTCTTCCGCAGCCGTTCGGGGCGATACGGGCCACCACTGAACGCTCCAGGCGAGGCGCCTCTGCTGGAGCGCACTCCGCTGCTGGACAATCGCCGCGAACCGACGACAACGCCCGACAGCCCCGAACCTCGAACCGCGAGGACGGCGAGGCGCCCCCGCGCCGAGGGGCGGCGCGAGACGCCACCGCGAGCCCCCCCCCCTCCCGGAAGAGGGGCCAGCGAAGGGCGCCGGCGAGGCGTCGCCTGCAGCGCGGTGCCGCGCATCCTCGGGGCCGCCCGCGTCGTACGAGGCGGAGCCTCCGCGCGAGCTTCGCCGCCGCCGGCGCCGCCCTGGCGGCCGCGGGGCGGCGGGGGGGCACCTGGCCCCTCGCGCGGCGGAAGAGACGGAAGACGTTCGAGCCTCTGGCGGCCCTCGCCGGGCCCCGGGAGCGCCGCACTCCTCCTCCTCCTCCTCCTCCTCCTCCTCCTCCTCCTCCTCCTCCTCCTCCTCCTCCTCCTCCTCCTCCGCCTCCTCCTCCTCCCCCTCCTCCTCCTCCTCCTCCTCCTCCTCCTCCTCCTCTCCTCCTCCTCCTCCTCCTCCTCCTCCTCCTCCGCCTCCTCTGCCCCGGCAAAGCACCCTCACAGCAGCCAGGAGGCGAAGAGGCGGATCGACGAGCAAGGGGGCGGGGTGAGCGCACGGCCCTGTACACCTTCGTGTTTGTTCTGCCAGAGGTCGTGGCCGCCCGGGCCAATGCACCGGGCACTACGGAAGCCCGGAGGCGTGTGCGGCATCTGTCTTGGCCACAACCGATGTCTGCGTATACACCCTAGTGTCTCCGTCGACCCCCCGCCCTGCACTTCACCCTGCTCTCTCTCTCTCTCTCTCTCTCTCTCTCTCTCCCTCGCCCCGGGACCCCACGCGGTCCATTCTCGCCCCGGACAGACCCACGCCGCAGCATCCCCCACACTTTGGAATCTTGTTTTCGGGGCCCAACCGTGCACCGCCTCGCCCTGAACCGACCCTAAACCCCCACCCCGACCCCCGCCGCGTCTGACACCCCCACCCTTGTAGACCACACCTCAGAGCCGCTTATCATGGGACCCTGCAAAACCAATCCTGACCCGCGACCACCACCACGTCTGGCATCCCCACCCCTCAAGGCCATTTCTCGGAACCTTCTATTCTTGAAGCCCCCACCCCGAAATGTCTCGCCTCAAACCCACCCTGACCCCCACCTCGCCCCCCAGCGCGTCTGACACCCCCACTCCTCCACGCCATCCTTCGGGACCTCTGTTCTTGAGACCCCCCCACCTGCAATATCGCGCCCAGAACCCACCCCGACCCCCACCTCGCCCCCCACTGCGTTTGAACTGATCTGCACTGCAATGTCTCGCCCGGAAACCACCCCGACCCCCACCTCGCCCCCCACCGCGTCTGACACCCCCACCACCTCGCCCAGAGTCGCCCCCGACCCCCACCTCGCCACCAGCTTCGTCTGTCACCCCCACCCCTCCAGACCACCCCTCGGGACATCGGGACCTCTGTTCACAAGGCCCCCCACCCTGTAATGTCTCGCCCAGAACCCACCCCGAACCCCACCTCTCCCCCCACCGCATCTGACACCTCCACCCCTCCTGACTACCCCTATGGACCTGTCCTTGGGACACCACACCGTGCAACTTCTCGCCCGGGGCCCACCCCGACCCCCACCGCGTCTGACACCCCTTCCCCTCCAGACCACTGTTCGGGACCTCTGACACTGGGACTTTCCACCCTGCAATTTTCCACCCGGAACCCCACCCTTCTGGACCCCGCTAAGGGGGGAGACGGGGAGGAAGGAGAGGGAAGAGGGGGAAGCGAAAGGGAAAGGTAGATACGAAAAGCGTTTCCCAAAAACATCTAACGCACGACATCACAACACCGCAGCTGACGGTCGAATAGATTCGACCCCAGGGCCACTTGCTCCCCAAGCAACCAGCGACTGCAGGTTGTCGTCCGCACACTTTTGCACGAGTCCTCCACCTGAAGATCCACAGCAGCGCAGCGCGCAAATATCTTAAAAGAAAAGGAGAATTATCCCGGCAAATCAACCTAACAGCGATGTGTAGGAGCATATCTGGAAGCATTCCCCTTAAGATTCAGATGAGAATCCAGTTGTAGAATTCTGCTGTTCTCGCAGTCGTAGTCGCATTCGCGATGACGGCGCAGTGGCAACGGCAGTCGCAGTAACAGCCTCAGCCTCAGCCTGCCTCAGCCTCAGCCTCAGCCTGCCTCAGCCTCAGCCTGCCTCGGCCTCAGCCTCAGCCTGCTTCAGCCTCAGCATCAGTCTGCCTTCAGCCTCGGCCTCAGACTCAGCCTGCCTCAGCCTCACCTGCATCAGCCTCGGCCTCAGCCTGCCTCAGCATCAGCCTGCCTCAGCCTCAGCCTCAGCCTGCCTCTGCCTCAGCCTCAGCCTCAGCCTGCCTCAGCCTCAGCCTCAGCCTCAGCCTCAGCCTTCAGCCTCAGCCTCAGCCTCCTCAGCCTCAGCCTCAGCCTGCTTCAGCCTCAGCCTCAGTCCCTCAGCCTGCCTCAGCCTCAGCCTGCCTCAGCCAGCCTGCAGCCTCAGCCTCAGCCTCAGCCTCAGCCTCAGCATCAGCCTGCCTCAGCCTCAGCCTCCTCAGCCTCAGCCTCAGCCTCAGCCTCAGCCTCAGCCTCAGCATCAGCCTGCCTCAGCCTCAGCCTCAGCCTCAGCCTCAGCCTCAGCCTCAGCCTCAGCCTCAGTCTGCCTTCAGCCTCGGCCTCAGCCTCAGCCTGCCTCAGCCTCAGCCTGCATCAGCCTCAGCCTCAGCCTCAGCCTGCCTCAGCATCAGCCTGCCTCAGCCTCAGCCTGCAGCCTCAGCCTCAGCCTGCAGCCTCAGCCTCAGCTGCTTCAGCCTCAGGCCTCAGCCTCAGCCTCTCAGCCCTCAGCCTCAGCCTGCCTCAGCCTCAGCCTGCATCAGCCTCAGCCTCAGCCTCAGCCTGCCTCAGCATCAGCCTGCCTCAGCCTCAGCCTCAGCCTGCCTCAGCCTCAGCCTCAGCCTGCTTCAGCCTCAGCCTCAGTCTGCCTTCAGCCTCGGCCGCAGCCTCAGCCTGCCTCAGCCTCAGCCTGCATCAGCCTCAGCCTCAGCCTCAGCCTGCCTCAGCATCAGCCTGCCTCAGCCTCAGCCTCAGCCTGCCTCAGCCTCAGCCTCAGCCTGCTTCAGCCTCAGCCTCAGTCTGCCTTCAGCCTCGGCCTCAGCCTCAGCCTGCCTCAGCCTCAGCCTGCATCAGCCTCAGCCTCAGCCTCAGCCTGCCTCAGCATCAGCCTGCCTCAGCCTCAGCCTCAGCCTGCCTCAGCCTCAGCCTCAGCCTCAGCCTCAGCCTGCCTCAGCCTCAGCCTCAGCCTGCAGCCTCAGCCTCAGCCCTTCAGCCTCGGCCTCAGCCTCAGCCTGCCTCAGCCTCAGCCTGCATCAGCCTCAGCATCAGCCTCAGCCTGCCTCAGCATCACCCTGCCTCAGCCTCAGCATCAGCCTGCTTCAGCCTCAGCATCAGTCTGCCTTCAGCCTCGGCCTCAGTCTGCCTTCAGCCTCGCCTCAGCCTCAGCCTGCCTCAGCCTCAGCCTGCCTCAGCCTCAGCATCAGCCTGCCTCAGCATTCAAAATGTGGCCCAGGAGTGAAGTTCTGGGAACTCAAAGAACACGAAGTGGCCTACGGTTAGCTCCGGGCATTCAAGATCATGCCCAGGAATGGAGTTCTGGGAACTCGAAGACCACGAAGTGGCCTACAGTTGGCTCTGGGCATTCAAAATGTGGCCCGGGAATGGAGTTCTGAGAACTCGAAGAACGCGAAGTGGCCTACAGTTGGCTCCGGGCATTCAAAATGTGGCCCGGGAATGGAGTTCTGGGAACTTGAAGAACACGAAGCGGCTTACAGTTGGCTCCGGGCATTCAGAATGTGGCCCGGGAATGGAGTTCTGGGACCTCGAAGACCACGAAGTGTGTAACTGTTTGCATAAAACGACTTCCGCGGATTCTCCCCGGCACCCGTCCGGCATCTGCCCAGACCCCCCTGAGGAGTCAAGATGCTTTCTTTTGAGACCATTAGAAACCTATCAGTCTTCGCTGTTAGGTAATGATCTGTCGGGTCGCGGCGGCTTGAAACCAAGCCCCTGTGGGGGGCAGTCGAAGGGCACTGCGGGGCACGATTGAGCATAGCCGGGAACGGGAAAAGCGCGGACAGGGGGAAAAGGAGCCGCGGGCGGCGGACCACGGCCAGAGCACGCAGCTGCAGCGCGCGTGTGCCGGAGCACAGGCCTGCTCAGCAGATGCCGAAGGCGGAGTGAGAGGGACGAGGGGCAGGCACGAGCATGCCCCACGCTCGTCCACGGGCACCGGAGGGCGCGGCGGCAGGCGCAGGAAGGCCCAGAGGGCCGCCGACGGCGCGGACGGCGATGGCGACGCACATCGAGCTCCGAGGATCGAAGTTCTGGGAGCGTTTCTGGGCCTCCTGGGGGAGGAGGACGAGGAGAAGCAGTGCAAACCCAAAACCCATCAACGAGTTTGAGATACAGCTCCCTCCAAGATCCCTCATTAGGGGCCCCTTCAGGGGCCATTTCCACTGAAGAAATTTTGCCCCGTCGGGGGGCAACCGCGTGAACATTCTGAAGCGTGCCAGCATACCATTCTCAGGACGTCAACGCCCCGAGTTAACCTGACTCTTACGCATTGGCGATCCTGAATCGAGCCAGAACACCATACCTGGGATTTCAGCACCGCGAATCAACGTACCCGCTGAACCCTGACAGTCCTGAACCGCTCCAAGACACCATTTCATGAAAACCACCGAAACTCTTGCAAATATAAAAAAACGCATGCGCGCGGCGCTAAGGCGACAGCCACATGTTGAAAATGATCCGCCCTCAACCAGTGAAACCTTGCAAATGGTTAGAACGAATGCGCGCGGCGCTAAAGGGAGAGCCACAATTCGAAAACGAACCACCTCCTGAATCCGCGATAACGTTTGCAATTCTCGAAGAACGAATGTGCGCGGCGCAAATGCGAAACCCACATGTTGAAAACGGGCCACCCTCAATCCGTGAAACGCTTGCAAAATTCAAAAAGGATGTACGCGGCGCTCAAACGAGCGCCACATTTTGAAAACGGCCCGCCCTCCATATGCGAAACTCTTGCACATTTTAGAACCGAATGCGCGCGCCGCTAGGGCGAGAGGGCCACATTTTGAAAACCACCCGCACTGAATCCGTGAACTCTTGCAAACGTTGGAACAAATGTGCGCAGCGCGAATGCGCAAGCTCCATTTGGGAAGCGACCCAACCTCCATTTGTGAAACGGTGGTAATTGTTTAGCATCAGTGTCACAGATGGTGAAGGGGTATCAGGCAAAACGCCCAGCCCGCTCGTTCGACAGGCCTCGGGGCGCGACAGGGAGGAGTTGTGCATGCGGGAAGGATCGGAGGAAAAGGAGGAGGAGGAGGAGGAGGAGAAGGAGGAGGAGGAAGAAGAGACGGAGGAGGAGGAGAGGACGCGGCACACAGGAAGCGGAGGTTACGACAGGCAGCACCGGGCGACAACGAGCGCGGCGACCGACAAGCAGGCCCAGCAGCAGAGGCGACGGACGGCGGCGACGGCCGGCGGCGGGCGACACCAAGCGCGGCGACCGACGACCAGGCCAAGTAGCAGCGGCGACGGATGGCAGCGACGGGCGGCGACGGGCGGCAACAAGCGCGCCGGACCGATAACATTTTTTTTAATTTTATTTTAGGCGAAAGCGCCGACGGCGGGCGGTCACGGTCGGGCTGCGGCCGCGACTCAATTCCCGAGCGCGCGCGGGGGCCGCGGAACACCGATAAAACCCCCCCAGTTCCCAAGAACCTTTAAGAGCAAGCACTGTCTGGGGAATTTCTGTTTGGGGCCAATCGGCACTTCGACCGCTCGGCGGTGCCGTTCACCTGCTCCAGGATCAATGGAAGAATGTACCCCGCACCGCCTCGCATACTCTTGAGCTGCTCGACTGCAGTATCGTACGCACGGCACGGCAAGGCACAACGCGGCGCATCCCGGCATTGGGCAACACGATCCAGGCTTATGGCCTAACACCACCCTTCACCAGACGACAATACCAGGCGACACGACCTCAGACAGGTTGATTCGATTTCGAGCCGTCGTGCTGCGAAGTAGGCGAAAAACTCACAATCGCGGCAGCATGCGCTATTGAATGGGTCGGGTACGCGCTGGGCGAAGCATAGCGAGTAAACCCTTGCAGGGCACGTCATCACAATAGAAGAAGCATTACGCGAAGCCACCAAGATCATCACAAATCCTAGTTTGGCACACACACACACACACAAACAGGAGCTGGCGGCCTCTGTCGTCAGCTCCGACGCCTTGCTCAGCAAGTTGGCGATGAGGGAGTTCGTCGTGCCCGCGCCGGCCGCCTCGACAGAGAAAGAAGCAAGGAAGGCGGCAATCAGGCAACGCGCAACAAGGTAGGCTCAACGCGGGAAAGAGAATGCATACCATGGAGTCGCTCGTTGGGCGTTCCTGGGATCATCATCTGGATAGCGCTCACGGCTCTCATGCGGCAACAGCACCAGCCGTGAAGAGCGACAGAAATGCAGCCGCAATAACGACGATACATGTAAGTAAACAGCGCAAGTTGGCCCAAGAATCCGAACAGAGAAACGGCAAGAACACAAATTACACTCCAACGAAATGTGTGAAATATCGCGTTGTCCTGGTATCAATTCGAGGATACGTTGGGGATCACTACGCGTCGAAAACCGTACCATCTGTCCAAGCTTCCCCCAATGTGCTTTCTTTCTCTGTGGTACGTTTCCCCCAGAGCCTTTCCAGCCTGGGGTAGGACCAGCTAAGCGCTGGGAACGGGTGCGGCCCGAACGGGCCCAGAAAGAGGGCTGCACTCGGAGCTGGAAACGCGCGAGTTGCTGGATTCAGGTGCGGAATAAACAGCAGCCCGCTGGATACACGTGCGGATGGCCGGCGCCCCTGGCCGCGGAAGACGTGCGGCCGCATGTGTATGCAGCTCCGCCAAGGCTGGCCACGTCGTACGTCTCCAGCTTGCTGGTAGTCCGTCGCCCCGATCGCAAACCACTGGGAAGGCCCCGAATCAGGGCCCAACGGGGACTCGAAAGGAGCCCATCGTCGCCCGCATGGCCCCAAGACACGCGCATGGCCCCAAGGCGGCACTACAGGAGGCTCAGCAAGCCCCCGGATATGCTCTACATATTCCCGAGAGGCCCCTCAATGAGAACGAGAAGCTTTACAACCGCGCGGTTTCCATGTTTCTCCTCTTTGTCATGATCTGGTTCCTGATCTCCCCCTCTCCTCCTCCTCCTCCTCCTCCTCCTC